CTCAGCCAGAGGACATGCCGGATACCCTGGATATTACCTTTTGAATTACAATCAATGACAAAAACTAGATTTTTGCCACTGTACTAAGACTGAAAGACGACAACAACATAAGATGAATATAATCGAATGTGACGAAACATATATACCTGGTCAACACGCGCTGCATAAGGTGCAAGCTCATCACAATGCTTGAAAATTTGTCTAAAATGAGATTTCACGAACCTACAAGGAATAAAAGGAACCTTTGACAAGATACCTGGCAAATTCCCTCATACCCATCTGGGCACAATCCTTCCGTGCCTCCTGTTTGCAGTAGAAGTCAACGTAAAACCAGTGAGCTAACTCAACTTGAAAGCACATGCGCACCTTATCCGATTTCTAGAGAACTTTTTTAAAAAAAGGCTTATCAATGTATGGGAAAGCGCCTACTACCCACCTCCTCATCTGGGATATTGGCAAGAAATCGAAATGTTAGGTCTTGAAGGACCTCATGTGGAATCCGAGGAGCACTTTGCGTGGACTTTGTAGGACTCACTGACCACAATGAGTACGTTTCTCCAACTTGCTGAAGAACCAATAAACTCAAAAAAAGAGATCAAACACCTGGGTACATTAGATTAAACAGAACTTCAAATGAACAATCAAGTGTAAGCCAAAAAAACTTACATTATAGCTGTTATCTCGTACTCTTCGTGAGTTCGAAGTCGACGGACCCGCATCTTCTGATGTTCCTTGGCTTCGGTTCATTCGCGATCCAACACTACTCATACCTTCATCTGCACGAGTTGCTGATATTGTAGCATACTATAATGACAAACAAAAGGTTCCGTTTGGAAACCAGGTTTATAATGGAGGAAAGTAGTCAATAAAACCCTGGAAAATGACGCAAAGCTAGGATGGTGCATTCTTAAAGTGCCATAGACAGCGAAAGGAAACTGGTCATCATTGGCGACCAGTATGTTGTAATCCTCACTGTCGAGATCAATGAACACTAGAAGCGCACCGAAAATTTGAAAAATTGATATAGATTATAATAATGATAGGGATAGATATAGAAAATTGATATAGATTATAATAATGATAAGAATAACTCTTCATCACTTTCAGGTACATGTAAGAAATAAGTGCTCATAAGAAAGTGTATGTTTCGAGATTACTTCATAATGTAAAAAACCAACCAGCATTCGTAAAGATTGATTTCAAAACGAGCAACACGAAAACGTACTAAAAGTAAGAACAAACTTGAATCTGTTGTCCACATCCTTTTTTCTTTGCATCTCCCTTTTGTCTTGAAGGTACCGTATCTGTTTTCATTCTTTGACCATGATTAGCATGCTTTGCAGGAGTGGACGTTTGGTCCGGAAGTGATTTCCCCTAAAAATAACGCTGAAAACGGAAAAATATGACAAATACAAACATACAAAATTTTCATGATTTGTTGCCGATCGTAACAAAAAAAAA